ATCTCCAATCCACATTTTGATTTGAGTTTCTTTAAAAATGCCTCGCTGAATGCTTAAGAATTGGAATAAAGTATTTAGAAGATCATGATTGCATGGCTTTGCTAATTCAAATCTTCTGTGACTTGTATGGCCCAAGAATATTAGTGAATTTACAAGCAAAGTCAGTTTAATTAAAATGTCAGTTTCCCAGATTCATTTCAGACCATGAAGAATTAGTTTAGGCAGCTTTTTATGAAACACTGGAGGGCACTATTATGAAATTTTCATAGCAGGGAGAGGAAGGTGATGGATTTGACAGAGCTGTTGTTTGAGTAAAAATACCCCATCGCTCAGAGGTGGCCCGTGTGTTGCGGTGATGCCAGTTCTGATAATTAGCTTCCTCGAAGTGCCTGTGGATACTGTCATATTTCTGAACTTGCCAGAATGGTCCGGGAGAGGCTACATAATCATTGCCAGTGGCACTCAGTCAACCTGTGAAAGAAGGAGCCCTGATTGAGTTGGAGGCATTAGTGTTCCTCAGACCAGTGGCTTGTGGGTGGGCGGTAGCTGCATGGACTTCCCCAGCCATGAGTGTGTGTGCCACTGGGAGAGTCAGAAATGTTCTTCCTGCAGACAGAAATAGAGGGCAGGATCTGCCACAAATGCTAGCGTCATCATCTGGTCCTCCTTTTAGGAGTAGGTCGGAATGGAGGATTTTCAAAGCTCCAGTCAATTTACAGGAATTAGATTTTTATCACATGTGCATAGTTACTGCAATGGCTGCTTCTTGCATTCTTCCAACAGATCTGTAAGATATATTTGGGTTTTCCAAATAATGAAATAGTCTTAACAGTAAAATTTGCCAATATCTCTCTCCCTGTTGATTGCACTCGAATAAATTAGAGCTGTTTTAAAAAATTTTATTTTTATAAAGTTGCTCGTGATTTATTACATTCAGTATTCCAACACCAATTCCACCACCATTGCACTCTCACCACCACTGTTTCCAGTTTCCTCAATACTCCTCAATCCTGCCCGCATAGCGGACCCTCAGAAATTTATTATTTTATATTTTTTGTTATGATTCACTAAAAATGATTAAAACTTTGATTCATGTTAGCTCCTTTAATAGGAGGGAACAGAATTGGCTTAAACTTTGTATATTTTATTATGCCCTCTCATTATTGCTTGAAGTGATTTAAAAAATTTTTTTTTTAATTCTGCGAAACTGTACTTACATAAAGGAGCCCAGTGAGCTACTGAACTTTTGCAGTTGAGAGGCTGCTGGCTTCTTGTCTGCCCCAGAGAGCATATTTCCAACACTGATGAGAACGCTTGGGGGCTGAGGGTCAAAAGTGTCCTGTAAAGATAACTGTAAACATTCTATATGTTTTAAGAAACTTGATGTATATTTTTAATGTGGAGAACAAGATAGGGCACATTACTAGGGACAAGCATTAATAACTGGAAATTGAATAGTGGTGGGTCTGGGCACACACAGCCAAGTTCATCTTCACTTAGTCTTGAATAGGAGGACTTGAGTTGTGAAACTGTTTTGTACCTTTTTTCATCCCCAGTGGAAAATAGTGTGTTTGTATTTTATTTTGGGTTTTTGGCCCATACCCAGCTGTGCTCACAGACCCCAAAGCAAAGTGTTACAGAAAGTACAACTTCAGTGAAAGAAATGACAGTAAACTTAGGATGATATGTGTGGGAAACTCATGAGTGTTGACAAAATATGAATTTAATAAAAGCCATGGGCTGTGTAAGTATCTTCAGGAATTGTTGCTATGAAATCCGTTTTCCCAAGACACCCTCCCCACTTCCACCCTGCCAGTGACATGAAGGTAACGAGAGCAGATGGGGTGTCATGAGGATGGGCTGGTTTCCTCAGTAGCACTTCCTGCCCACTGAAATTGCACCGAGAGGAGAAGGCAGAGTGGACTGTTCATCTTTATCAGCGGATTCAGCCAGAGAGGGGCCACCAGCCATGGGGGTTATGGTGGCTAAGAGGGACCCGGGTGCTAGTATAGCAGACAGGCTGTTTGACCTGGCTTCATCCCCAGCACCCCATCTGGTCCCCCAATCCCCTCCATGAGTGATCCCTGAGTGCAGAGACAACAGTAAGCCCTGAGCACCACCAGGGATCCCCGAAACTTAAAGGAGAGAGAGTGAGAAAGAGAGTTCCGGGGGCTGAGAATATTCCCTTGTATTGCGGGCATGCTGGCTTCTCTCGGGAAGTAACCCTCTCTAGCTCTCTGGGTTGGCTTCCAGTCGCTGCATGCAGCCTGCCCCAGTTTAGACTAACACTCAGGACCAGTGTGTATTTCTTATTTGACCCTGTGAACTGCTCCCAGGGGTCAGGTGCCAGATTCTTCCCTTCGGTTCCTGCAGCCCCAATGCTCACTGCCTTCCTTTCTGCAGCTTCCAGCCTCCTTATATTCGTGCTCACTGATGGAAGAACCTGAGCCCTCAGAGTTGGAAGTCTGGGCCCCCATTTTCCTTCATTCAGGAGAGCACTGCTCTCTCTCTGTTGGAGCCCCGGGAGGTCTCCGAGGCCATCTCCCAGTGTGGCCAGCTTAGATCTCTGACCCAGGCGCTCAATTGATAAGATCAGGTGTGTCGCTTTTGATTAATCCCAACGTCAGCTGCACAGGACCTTAATTCCAGCTGCAGTCTCCTCCCCCCTCAGGCCTGGAAAGGGGGCTGGCCCCTCTCCACAACTCCACACTGATGGGCACGAACTCTGCTCAGACGGAGCACCCTAGTGTCATCCTGGGATTCCACTCATCACACCTGTGCATCTGCTCATTGGGTCCCTCCGAATGGCCAGCAGGGTGTGGGAATTCTGGGTCCCCACAGCTGCTTCTGCATTCATGTCAAGCAACAGCAGCTGTTGCTAATGGGACACCGAGACGGGCAGAGTTGGCCATCGTAGCCATCGTACACGGCCCCTCTCCGTGGCCGTCCTCTATTCCTGGGTGCTTCCTCATCCGTCTTACCTACAGCTGTGGGGACTTGACTCCTGGTCTCACTCTCCGCCAACTCAGGCTACTCTTGAGGACTTTAGGTTCTCCTCCCACACAGGAGATTCGCCAGCAGCTAGTGGGGAGGGAATTTAGCAAGGTGCCCTTGACAGGGTACCTCTGTCAGCCCTTTGTTTCTTCAGTTGAATAATAGAGATACCTGAAAGACGACAGAAACTTACTTTGCTATTTATTTTTACTTCACGTGTTTTTTTTTTTTTCTTTTTTTCTGTTCTGTTCCTTGGGTTACTTCAGAAACGGTTGTCTTGTTTAAGGCCAGCCTGGCTTAGTGTGGTGAGCAGGGAAGGAGAAAGGTGAGAGACACCTTGGGGTCCTTGTTTGAAACTGGGCAGCTGAGCTCGGTACCCCGGGCCTGCTGCTGACTCTGATATAGGAGGAGGAGTGAGGGGGGTCCTGAAGGAGGCAGGCAGCTGGCCCTGGATTCGGATCCCCAGCTCTGGAGGTGCTGAGATAACTCACTGTGAGCCCACAGAGTGCTTCAGAGGCTGAGGACCAGTCACGTTCCCATCCCATTACTGGCGTGGTTTCATCTTTTCTTCGATCTTCAGTGGGTTCCCATTGACCTGAGCTGAGGCCCGTTCCACCTTCTAGAGGCCAAGAGGATTTTCTGACTCCTTTGTGTTCACTTTTTCCTTTCTTTTCTTGTCACTTTTTGTTTGTACTCAGAGCCCGCCAGCGTAGGCTGACTCTAGTTTACTCATTTAAATGTCTCCTGCATCTTCTCTCACAAGTCCAGGGTTTAGCTTCCTCATTGAGGAAGGCCCTCTGCTTCTCAGGGTTCCTGGGACTATATTGGGCTAACCTTGATAATCCAGGATAATATCCTGATCTCACAATCTGCAACTTTCATCGTATCAGTCTTCTCTAATGCCATATGTGGTGACATTAGCCATAGACATCTTTAGGGAAAGTGTAATTTTCTCTGCATGCCCCCAGATTAATTCTTTGCATGTTACTAAGTAAAAATAGCCTACTTGAAATGTAACTTATTTGAGGAAGATAATTAAGATCCTATCACCATTCTGTAAATGACATTATTAATTTTCTTTGGAGACTAAACATCAGGGAGAAGACAGGAAACATCAGGAAAGGAACAGAGAAATTGAAGAAATGAGGCAGGTGGTAACTGGAGAAAATCTTTGCTTATTAAACAATATTTTGTTTTGATTTTGACAAGGTGGCATATATAATCCATAATGGTACAATTTGGAGTACAGTGTATATATATAATATATATATTATATATATATTTTATATATAGTATATATATAAAAATGTCACCAACATATCTCTCTCAATTATCCAGAGCTTTTTAGGTTTTCGTGTTTTAAAAATTGTGAATCTGTAAGAAAATGGCAGAATAATAATGAAGATAAAGTTTAAAACTGAACAGTGAGAGGGAAATTAACTTATTAAATTATGGATATTAAGTAGCTACCCCACATTTTCTGTTGATAACTTTTTATTATTATGCTGCTCAGGAAGATGTTTAAATTTCATGTTTATTGCCATTTATATAGTCACCACATATTTCTGTACTAATTTTCGATTGAGTATGTAAAATCTCAATCTGGTAATCTGGATCACTCAATTTGGAGCAATAGCACAGCAGGTAAGGAATTTGCCTTGCGCGAGGCCGACCCGGGTTTGATTCCTCCATCCCTCTTGGAGAGCCTGGCTAGCTACCGAGAGCATCCCGCCCCTGCAGCAGAGCCTGGCAAGCTCCCCATGGTGTATTCAATATGCCAAAAATAGTAACAAGAAGTCTCACGATGGAGACATTACTGGTGCCTACTCGAGCAAATCCATGAACAATGGGAGGACAGTGCTACAGACAGTGCTATGTAAAATATTAAGTAAGGAGTTTAATTTCCACTCAGGCTTAAGTGACATTCTATCTTGTGATGTTATGTTTAATAGTTTTTCAGATTAAATGTGGCATTTACTATTGTTTCCTTTCCTTCGTTTCATTAGCTAAGGAACCTTTCCAGCTTAGACCTACGTCATATCACTGAACTGGATAATGAAACCGTGATGGAAATTGTCAAGAGGTGCAAGAATCTGAGCTCTCTCAATCTCTGTCTGAACTGGATCATAAATGACAGGTAATGACTGTTAACATCTCAAAAACGCTTTCCAGAGAAAAGCATGTAATATTTATATCAAATATTAATCATCATTGTAAAAAGGCATTCCAGCTTTAAGGAATATTGATAGGATAGGTTAGTTTGAGTTTGGAAGCTATCTAGATGTATACTTTTATACTTGCAATGAGATTTTTTTGTGTAAGATTTAGATGATTATCCAAAGAATTATATCAGTCTGCTGAATATTGCTTTGTCATTCATTCAAGATATATTGCTTATTTGCCACTTCAATATTTTTTAACTTGTAGTCGACTTTTCTATTCACTTATCAAGAAAAAAATGACTCTGAGAGACTATTTCAAATATTTTGTGTTCTTATTCTTTTTGAAGATGATATTTTGCTCTCCATATAAAGATAACTGTTTTTGGAATTTTAGTTTATGTGTTAGATTATTAAATATATAGTGAGAATATGCGTACAATGGGCATTTTCTTATAAACAGTAATAAATTTCCCCTTTAAAACTTTTTGCAAGAAGACAGTTATACACATTTAACAATGTTGCAAACCACAATGTCTAGAAGTGTGGGGGAGGGAGAATAGTGAGAAAGGGGGGAGAAAGATGGAGAGAGGGCTCTCAAGAGAGGACGGGAGAGGGAGAGAGAGAGGGGAGAGGGAGACAGAGAGAGACAGAGGAAGAAAGGTGTCTGCTATGCAGGCAGGGTGTGGGGTGAGACTGCAGGGGATGTTAGTGATGGGTGCTGTGCACTGGTGAAAGGATGTGTGTTGGAACTTTGTGTGACAACAACTTGGTGACTTTGTATCTCATGGCCATTCAATAACCAAAAAGAAATGTTATAAATGTAAAAATATTGCATGAAGAAAGGTGCAAGAAACTTAGACTTTTTATAAGGAGACAACTGCAGAATAACATGGTGCTTTGTAGCTGTTTGGGTGAGAGAAGATTCTTGTTCTGTAATTTGTCAAGACTTGTCTTTTTTGAAGATAGGCCACCAAAAATATTTTGATTTTCCGATTGTAAGCTCTGTTTCAGCTAAAATTAGAACCTATTTAGACTTAAATATTTTTTAACACTGAATCAACAATTTATTGTTTGTGTTAAACAATGTTTTGAATTCACAGAAGTTCTCTATGTTTAATTTTCATTTTTATTTAAAAATTAAATTAGCTACAGTCACTTTTCTCCAGTTTTGATTAATTATAGTGAAATTCTCTTAAAATACCCCATATTAGTTTTTGAATTGTGTAATAGCTTTTTCATTGGCTTGTCGTTAAAACTTTTCTAGAAAAATTAATTAATCTACACTGGAGCGGTAATCATTTATAAAAGATACTTGTTATTTGGGGCTGGAGCAATAGCACAGCGGGTAGGGCTTTTGCCTTGCACTCGGCCAACCCGGCTTCTATTCCTCCACGTCTCTTGGAGAGCCCAGCAAGCTACCTGCACGGCAAAGCCTGGCAAGCTCCCCGTGGCGTATTCGATATGCCAAAAACAATAACAACAAGTCTCACAATGGAGACATTACTGGGCCAGCTCAAGCAAAATCGATGAACAATGGGAGGGCAGTGCTACTTGTTGTTTGAGCCTTATTCACAATATAAAGTGTATAAGTATATAAAGACTATTGGTAAAATTTTTGAAAATTTATTTCTTATGATTATCTTTCTTCACAGCCTCAGTTTGTGTGAACTTAAAAAGTGTTTTGAGTGTTTTTCATAACTAAGAAACAAAAGTTTTTCTCTCATTTTCACATTTCACTCTGGTCAATGTTGAAATAAACTTAGTAATGCATCAAATTTAAAAGGAGAAAACTTTTTGCGACAAATATTTTGAAAGAGTGATTGTTTCTATTCTGGTTTTCTGTGCACCTATAGTAGTGTACTTGTGTAGAAGAACCTGTTGTTGGTGGCGACAGGTAAAGGCCAGGGAGCTCCTCTCTGATTATAAGGGCTCTCACCTAAGCAAACCTTTCTACTTTGGTACCATTTAAAAGCCAAAAATATTTAGGGATTTTTAAATCTTAAAATCTTCAGTTGTTTATGCAGCAACGGGATCTGCCACTGAGAAGGGGAATTTCTCACGTGTTTTGTCTCCCTTTTGATACGTCTACCTACTCAATTCTCTTTCAATCATTTGCCTCCTCTCCCCCATTAAGCATAATAGCCATTTGAACTGAATATATTTAATATGGAGATTTATTTGCAAAGAATCAAAGTGTATTTTTATGTATTTAATGGAAAAGTTTGGATTAATTGAGAAAACATGCATTTTAATGAGATTCAGCAAGAGTTTTAAAGCTCAGGCTCTTTCAGGTTTTAATTACACAACGTGCACTTATCCTGTGTACTGTAATAGTAGTTTCAAACATTAAAACCCACTTTGCAGTATCATCTAAATTACTCCTCTCATTGTTCTTGCCATGCTCTATCACTAAGCTAAGTAATATTTGTAATTATATTGGTATAAATCTAGAACTTCCCGTCAGACTTAATTATAATTTCAGCACTTAGCTGAGGTGGGTTAGTAACCTTTCATATACCAGGCCCTGGAATGCACTAATGCATTTAGCCTATCAATTAGTGTCTGTTTTACATTTGCTCATTATTATTATCCTCTAGTAAATCAGGAAGCATTTATTAACCCCCTACTAAATACTTGGTACTGTGTCCCAGACTGTGTTCCTGCTGCTCTCAAGGGTTGATCCTTTAGGTGACATAAGACTTAATGAGTGAGATAATCGTGAGCCTTGTTAGGATAGAAGGGAGGAGAGTAACCTTTATTACCCGGGTAATTGATAGGCACTTTACATGTGTTCTCATTTATTCCTTTCAGCATCTTTTGTTCGGTAGAAGGTCACACTATCCCTGTGAAATTTAGGGCATTTATTTAACTTTTCTATAACGTTTCTAGTGCATCTATTGTTCCGCCATTGCTGTAGTCAAGACTGTGTGAGGGTAAACAGCAGCACGGACAAGAAAACTGTCTGGTCGTGTGGAATTTCCCGTTTCAGAGCTGGGAGTCATACACAGTTGACATTCACGTGTAATTAAAAGTTTTCTAAACCAGTCTCATACAGTTTCTCACAACAAAAGTATAATGGAATCTTTAAATATTATTTTACGTTAATGCCTATGAGAAAGTTCGTGTTTCATGCTGTGACCTCTAATAAAGGACTTATGACATCAAGATAATCTTTAGTACTCTTCTCCTAGCTTTAAATCTTTAAATACAAGCTATCTCTGGGTTTGAAAGGTTCTTGCCTCTAAATATTTTTTGAACTTTAAAAAATAAAAATGTGACGTGAATGAAGGTCTTTATGTTCATAGTACCTCTTAGCACTCTGTGATTTTTGGATTGATCTCTGTGACTGCCACGTGCTGCTCCTTCTCTTTGTTTTTCTAGAAGCACCGTTTGTATTTGGAGAGTTAAACAGCATGGTATTTTCTCGTATTCAGAAGGATGGTCTAGTAGTCATTTGACATTTACCATTGCTTTTGAACGGGAATAAATCCCAGTGGTTCATGGAAAGAGGACACTCTTTCGAGCGGTGATTTAAATTCAACACCTGGTTGTTTTGTGCCCTCCGTTCTATGATTCCAAGTTTATTAAAATGTTTATTTGTACTTGATTTTTAAGCCTTAGGTTATTTCCTACCCAATTTTGCCTTCTTGTTGGCATGGAGTCTGGAAGTCCTGGCTGTAGAGCTCATGATGCGCTGGAGACAGAAGCTCCGAGACCCTTTCCAGAGACGAGCTTTTGGGGGCGCAGGGCTAGGGTGGCGGGGAGGGCAGCTTCCTTCCACTCTGCTAATCCAGGCTCCGTCTCAGGCATCCCATGTGGTACCCTCTGTCCTCCAGAAGTAGCCCCTGAATGCAGAGCCAGGAGTCAGCCCTGACCACTGCTAGGTGTCACCCAAAACCACCACCAAAAAAGAAAAAAAAGTGTAGTGATATGCTACTTAATCGTGACTTGTGTTTTCCCCTCAAGGAGAATGAAATGATATATACTGATTTCAATTGACCTTTGTCAAAACTTCATAAATTTTAAATCGACCATCAAAGACCACCACTTGTATCTTCATTTTCATTGTATTAATGCTAATACTGAAAAAAAATTAATCGTATGATTTATAGACCCACAGTCTGATGTATGATTTTTTTTTCAGTGGCTTAGGATAGAGGCAGTGCAGTGGGCAAAGTGCTGGCCTCGCTTGCAGATTCAATCCCATTAGGACATATGGTCCCCCAAGCACTGCCAGGAGTGACCCCTGAGTGTGGAGCTAGGAGTAAGCCCTGAGAACTGCTGGCCGTGAACCCCTCTACCCCACAAAAAATAGGATTAATACTGTTTGCTTGTTATGAATTAGAATAAACAGGGAAAAAATACGAGAGTCGTAGTATTCTCTACTGTCCGTTAGTAAAAGTTGCAGAACACTTAAAAAGTCAGGCTGGTTGTGAAGTTAGGTACCTTTGGCTGCTAACTTGTTTATCTTGCCCCAGCTGGAGATTTCACTCTTTGGGTTGACAGTTTTAGAAGAAAGAGCATGTTCAGGTTTGACCCTCAGCACCCAGTGGATTGGGTGTCACTCCCAAATCTCCTAGATATGATACATTTGTTGAGCATTGACATCAAAGCATACCTTAAGGCATCGATATGCTGTCTTGATTTTATGTGTAAAAGGCTATTATATGAACAAATACAGAATATTTAAAATTTTTAGATTATGTGACTCGTAACTTGTTTCAGGTAAAAATTGTATTTACACTTTATGTGCATTGATTTTTTTAAAAAAATATTTTCTTTTTTAATACAACTTTTTGGGGGAGGCATCAGATAGTACAACAGTGGAACATTTGCTTTGTGTGTAGCCCAACTGGGTTCAATCCCTGGCACCCCATATGATCCCTTGAGCCTGCCAGGAAAGACCCCTGTTGGCAGAGCTAAGACTATTGGCTGAGCACTACTTGGGTGTGTCCCCAAAACACACAAAAAAACT